TTCTGCAAGAACAAAAGACAGAAGTACAAAGTCTTAATTGTTGTTTTTCTCTAAAAGAAACTTCATTTTTAGCAGAAATTTGTTAAAAATTGGTTTTAGCATTATTGGTTTAAAAAGTTGTCTTTTTTCTATAATGTTTTAACAACTTACAACTTTTGTTTGGTTTTATTACTCTATTTTTATGCACAACTTTGGACAAATTTTATTGCAAAATCTAAATAAATGTTGTTCAACTTGTTACCTGCATGTAAGAGGAGAATGTATTAGTTATCTCTCTTTTGGCTGGACAGCTATGGAGATTTGAATTCTGAATGTCATCTTTGCCTTAAAAGATTTTTTTCCTTACTCAAAATGATAGCTGGTTTTAAGGATTCAGTAATTGCACCTCAAACAGCAACTAATGCTTTTCCACACAAAAAAAATTTAACTGTTTGTTATATCTGAAGCTCTAAAGCTGGCAGGCTTGCAAAAATGATAGAATTTTTACTTCCAAAATCAGTATTTCAGAAAAAAACAGGCACTGAGTCAATCAGTCAAGCCATATGGACTTTGTGGGTTAGCTATTATATATATTATATTCTATTGTACAATCCCTATGTTTCTGCTTCATCTTACTAAAATGTTGGTAACTGAACTACAGTGATCAGTTTTCTTGATAAACTTTATTGACAACAGAGTAACAAAGAGTGTGGAGAACTGTGTTGCTCTCCCCCCACTTGTTGCTGCACACAGCCAGTCAGATGGCTGAAAGCAGATTATTCCTTTGCTTATAAGGACGGCAATTCTGAACTCTTGAAAATATTTCCAGTTGAGGGAAAACATGATTAACATTCCAAGGAAGCTAAACGTGTACCAGCTACTTAAGGAAACATTGTTTAAAACTACTGCGGGCAACTTAATCCCAGCATCAACAGCAGATTCTTTTCAAGAAGAAAGCCTGGATAATTACCTAGCTATCGGCCTAACAAAACCCTTGACTGCAGAAACATTTGGACACCCATTATAGATCTCAAGTAGCTAGAGTAGCTAAAACATATCTAAAAAAATAAATAAATAAATAAATAAGGCTTATACCAATGATGGCACTTAACATGGGGCCAGAAGATATGGACAATATGGTGCCAATTTCTCATATTTATTTTAGTTTTTTCTAAACAACCAAATTATGATATTTACTATACTGTATAATAGTGTTTGGTCCCAAAATAAATAAAAATACATTAGAACATTTTAAATGATAGTATCATTACAACTGCATTACTATAATGATTTGAGCAACAAATGTTTCATTTATTTTTTTATCATATAAAACCAATTGGCTTGTAATGCATCTGCAAATGTACTCCGTATCAACATCTGTGCTTCAATACATTTCTGTTTGGCAAAATCTATTATACAGAATACATCTTTTAATCAGTCATAAACCACTATTTTCCTACAGTGCATTCTGTGTAAAAAGATCGGGAAATGCAAAGTATTTTGGGGGGGTAAATAGTAAAAAAGGCATACAATATCAAAGTTATTTCAAAACGGGAATATTCCACAAACAATAATACATGACGTCACAAGCACGTCAGCCAATCAGCTGTCTTCTTGCCCTCTGCAGCGAGGCGGAGGGAGGAAATTTTCGCCTTTAAAAAGCAACCTTCAGCAGACACAGATATGAGGTGCGATTAGGAGAGGTTGGATGATGCGCAGCTTTACCGATGATCTTTGATTTGGTGACTGAGACACATTAACGCTGCAGACTGAGTGTAAGGATTGGATGGAGGAAAGATCCCAGAGCGAAGATCTGCGCCAATAAATAATGTAAGCGGAGAACAGATGGTTTTGTTTACATGCCACAAATGCCACTGTCTTATATCTTTACACGAATTAAACGCATCTAGACTGACTGCAGGTTGCAGAGCCTCCTCTGGCTGTATGCGTGTGTTTCTGCTGATGTTTACATTTGGACACACAGGCCATGCTTTGTACTACATTACGCACCAACCCCGTGTTGATGCAACGTGCGCTGTTTATTCTGCTGTGCGCCTCTCTGCTCAGAACTGATGGTGTCATCGAAATCCTCCTATGCTTTGTAAAACTGCAACATCCAAATTAAAACTGTAAAACACATTGATGGATGTCATAGGAAAAAAATGCCTATTTAGATGTAGCAGAAAATAATCTCATGTTATTGTGCTGTAAAGTGGAATTCTGGGCTCTCTTTTAAGTGAAGGCCAATTTAATATCCTTATGTCTCAGTAATTTTTTAAGCATGTTAGAGAATGACAGTAATGTATTGTCAGGGGTTTGGTTATTACGTAATGTAGGGACACTGTGATTGGCTAGGAAGAGGGGGTCAAGGCTCTGGGTGTGTGTCTATAGAACCCTGACAGACTTCTTTTGTTTTTGCATTTCTGTCGCATTCAAATTTTTTGGGTCCTAAAATAAATCTTAATAACATCTCAAGTTAACAAGAGTGAATTAGTGATTTTTAAACGCTTACATTATTATATTTATTACAGTCTTAAAAGAAACCAAACTTTCCAAACAAGCCTGCACAAGTATAACACCCCAAACCTAATAATTAGTTATCACACTTTTGGCAAAAACTGAAATCAAGCTGTTGTTGCTAACTAGTTTTGAGTGGTTCTTATAATTTTAGATAAATAATAGCTCATTCCTCTTTGCAGAACTGTTTTCATGCTTTTTTTCATATAAAACCACACTATCTGGATCTTAATTGTAGACTTCGTCTGGGCTTCTGCTGTTTGTTATATTTCTTTTGAACCATTCATAGGTGAACTTCCAAATTTGCTTTCGCATTGTCCTGCTGCATAAAACAAGGGGTCATCAATGGAAATTTTCTGTCAGGATTGGTTGGTCGGGAGCACCGTTTATTATTCCAATTCCTGAAGAGGTCCCAAAACATGACACTACCGCTGCCATGTTTGACTCTGAGTATAATGATCCTTTTCCTAAATTCTTTGTTGGTTTTACATTAGATATAACCAGACACACATCTTCCAGAATTTGTAATTTTCCAGGCAGGCCACAGTTTGGAAAGTTTTTTTTCTTAATTTAAATTAACTTATTATTTGATAGCCACATGTTACATCTATTCAGATTATCTTCTTTGGTTGCTGAAATGTGTCATCTTAACATTTTGGATAGCAAATGTAAAAGCATAGAGGTGTGTATAAAAGTGCCAATGCAGATAGAAATAACTTTTTCTATATGGGTTAAACATTGTTTGTAACATTGTAGTCATTAAGTAGGCGTGAACAGAATCTAAATGCTAACCAGCAGTGACAGTCACCTGTAGCTGCACAAGCTTGTGTTTATCTATGTGAGAGCATGAGTAGAGACATGTGTGTGCACCCTTTGGGCAATTTTGACAGTGAAAGCAGAGCACAGAGTGTACGTGAATAGAAATGTTATCATGTTACTACTATAGCTATATGAAGAAGGAAGTGATAGTAAGGAAAACGGTTGCACAATCACTGGCAAAACAAAAACACTCCCAGTTCTTGAATTACAAGTTGTTTCTGATGTATAAACATATTTATTGAAGTGGAAAAGAAAATTCTTCCTTCAGATTGAATTGTGACCACTCTTCTCTCAACAGCATTATGTTTTCCTAAAATGCTAGAAATATAGTTCTTGCCATTTTGACTTGAACTGGGTGAATAGTTGAAATATTCATGAATAGTTCATTGCGATTATTCTGTTGCAGAAGCAATCTTTTGCTACCTACAGTTAATTAAAACAACCTGTTATAAGTTTCTTATGGGTCTGCTGAGCGAGAGAAAAGCCTGCAGGTGTAATTATTGTTTGAATAAAAAATCATTATCATCAAAAGTATTTCTGCATGGCTTTGGGTAACATGAAGCCATCTGTCTCCAGGCTGAGTTGTGTGTCTGTCTATGTGACAGTAACAGTGTCTGAATTAGCATACCTACCTCTGGTATCACATATTATGTTGGCTTTGAACTGTTTTCTGCTAATCCCTTTGTTAAAATATGTATCTTAAATTTCATTAAGCTTCTTTTTGCTTATTCCTTGTTGTTGTTTAGCTTCAATACTTATATGTTTTAATCCTATTTGGTTTCCTTCGTCTGTGCTTTGTGTTAATGATTGCATGATTGACAGATTTTATAGATCCCTGATGTACAGTCTTTCTGTGTAGAGCTTGCATATTATCCATGTGCATGTGGGGTTTCTCTCTGGGTACCCTTGCTTCCTCCGGCAGTTCCAAAACAAGACTGTTAGGTTGATGGGTGACTGTGAGTTGTGTGTAACAGTCTCTGTTTTGACCTAGAAAGGTGACCAGTGTCCAGTGTGTACAACACCTGAATACTGCTGCAGATTTGCGCCACTCTTTTAAACCCTGATAGACAATACGTTTGCTGCATTAACCAGTCTGTTTTAAAGTGAAGCAAAATAAAAACACTTGCCAAAAGATCAATGGCCGTCTTTGTATGAATTTGGCAAAAATATATTTTCAAAATATTTGGCTGTAATTGAAATATCCTTAGCTGCTATTCTCTCTAAAAAATACTCCATTGGAACAGCAGAGGTTGTATTTTCTGGTTTTAGCAAGCATATACAGTAGTCTTGTTTGTTTTCAGTCATTAAAGATTTTAAAGTTCTTTATCAGAAATTGATCTTAGCTGATTTAGGGTTTATGATGTCCTTGATGGAACATGTTTGTCCTTCAAAGAGGAAAATAATTTCAATATATATATAAAAATGTATATATAAAATATTTAAACCATCATTCCAGTGAGAAGATAAATTAATGCACAGACGTAATTCATATTAACAAACATTCATACCAACAAATAACCACTCACTGAGCAGCATAAAAGAATGTGAAATCGGTAAAAAAAAAAAATGTAGCAATCATTAGCATAATGTGAGGGAATATATACATTTTTTTCCAATATTGTCCTTATATATCTATGAACCACATGGATCCGCTGATAAATAATGATGCATATCTTCTTTTTCAGTTACAGACCATGAACTATGTGGGTCAGCTGGCAGGCCAGGTGTTTGTGCAGGTCAAGGAGCTGTACAGGGGCCTCAACCCTGCAACGCTGTCTGGTTGTATCGACGTCATCGTGGTTCAGCAGCCCGATGGCTCGCTACAGTGCTCCCCCTTTCATGTCCGCTTTGGAAAAATGGGGGTACTGCGGTCCCGTGAGAAAGTGGTGAGAGACCTATACTCTTAGACATTTGCAAGTGTTTTTTGTATGATGTCTAGGGCTGAAACAATTAATCAGATCAATCGTGATTAATAGGTTATTGAAATAATCGCCAACTAATTTAGTAATCAATTCATTTAGAGACAGATCAACCAACCCATGTGCAGCAGTTATACCAAATTTTTAAAGCAGACATTTTGCATTTAAGATAAAAAAAAGCTTTTTCGTCTGTCAATATGCTCTTTCCATCACTACTCAAGTGGAGTCGTTTTAGTTTCACCTGGTTTAATTTGTTAAAACTCTTTAAGAAACATTTGCTGTACGATTTTTAATCGATTAATCGAAAAAGTAATCAACAGATTAATCAATTTGCAAAAATAATAGTTAGTTGCAGCCCTAATGATGTCTGTTAAAGGGAGAGCATATGTTGAATGACCAACGGAAGGGTTCATTACTTTCACTTATGTTGTTTAAAAACAAGATTATTATCGGTTTGATAACCATTATTTAAATGTTTTTCATTTAGTTAACAGTAACAGTATAAAATGCTGGAATACTAACTGCTTATTTTTCCTAGAACAAAGTGTTCAAGACTATTTTTCAAAGTAACACAATTACATTTATACCAATTTAACTCATGTTAAATTCTAAACTTAAATTTTTTAGTTATCTATTCGCCTATGCAAATATGTTTCCTATATAATAAAAAACAAGAACTTGTTCGGGTTGGCTGATAAGCTTTAAACTATTTTTTTGGTCCAACAGGTGGATATAGAAATTAATGGAGAGCCAGTTAGTTTGCACATGAAGCTGGGAGAGAATGGAGAGGCCTTCTTCGTCAAAGAGACAGAGAACACACTGGTGAGTTATGACAAATAGATTCATTACTCCTCGACAATAAACACATATAATAATAGCACAGAACATAGTATATCTTTTAGCCTGAGGCTTTATACAGCTTGGGTTTACAACTTACTGCCAGACAACTTGTTATTTTAATTGCAGGCTTAAATCGTTACTTTTCCTGCCCAGGCAAGCCTGGAAAATCCAGAAATACATCTTTAAGAATTAATAGAGAGATGTCAGAAGGAGAAGTGCTGTTTAAAGCTTTTATAACTCAGTACATCTGACAATTCAGACATTTTTTCTAAATGGTCGTACAGTGCTTGTTTAGCTTAAGTATGATCAAATTTTGGATTTTATATAAGAAGCATACAGAAGGGCCTAAGCCCAAAGAAGAACAATAAAATTGTTTTTTTAATTAACAACTTAGGGAGTTGTTACTAAACAGAGTTAAGCACAAACACTTATATCTTAGGGTCCTTAAAGAAGATAAAAAAGGCTAGTAGCCTGGTAACAACGAGATGGTGTTAGTGTGCACCCTATAAAAAGTGAATCAACTGGATTTTTCGAGGTAAAAAATATATTTTCATTTCTTAATCTAAAGGACTTTCCCAACTTAAAGCTAGGGAGGAAGAAGTTCCAAATTTTAAAGGGATATTGTATAAGAATGAGAGTATTTCACTCAGATGAACACTAAACCCGAGTATGTCACTGCGTCAAACACATATCTCAGCGACGGTACACGTCATGTGTGAAAAAGCCTCTATGACACATATGTAACTGTGTCATCAAATTGAGTTGAAGTCTCTAAAAGCTGGCATTTACTGTGACAAAGCCAACATTCACTGCAGCGTAGAAATAAAAGGGGTGAGCAGCCTTATGTATGAACTGATTTATAGAATTCTTTGCTCAAAAAATGAAACTAATTATTACTGGAGGTAATAATACTCCAATAATAACACATATGTAAATGCATTAATTGATTTTAAGCTGTAAGAGGGAGAAATTATTGCACAATATCTCTTTAAAGGTGACCGGACAGTGCCAGTGTGCAGATTTAACCTTACTTGCTGATTTGCCCTATTGTTTGTGGAATCAGTTGTTTTGGACATATTGGTAATGGTGTCAAAAAGTAAATTGTGGTTCGGGCACCATCAAGCCTAAGGCCAGGTCTTTGTGATAATGAGAAAATGTCACCAAAAAACTGTCAGTGGTTGTTTTGAAGCCACAGATTGAAGCGAGAGCACATAGCTGGCAGTCATCCAGGTTGCTTTTAGCTATATTGCAACTGAATAACATAACAGAAAAAAAAAAGTTTCCCTCATCACTTTTTAGGCACTGTATCACTGGGGGATCCTGTTACCTGAAGGTATTTCTGGCTTAACAGGATAGAGACAAACTGTGAACGCTTATGTTTGTTTTGAAAGTCAGCTCTCAAAGGGGAAAGATGAAAAAACAAGGTCTTAGGTTAGAAATTGTTTTAAAGTGAGGGGTAAGGGTTACAATCCCTCTGCTGCAAGGAAGGAGGAGCTAGCCCAGCTCCACTAATGTGATAAACAAATGTGAGCAGTCACAATGGTATTAGTGAAACTACGAGGAGTTGTATTATTCCCTCATTAAATAAATACCTGAGTTTGACACTTATCTGGGAATATGGACCGGTACCATCACAATGTTTCAGTCAATAGCTTTTAAAATATTTTTATGTAGAAATTCAGCCGGCCATGCTTGCTCCATGTTTAATCCTTTCCTTCACCAAACCCTCCCTTTGCAGGGATCTATTTATAGTTCTGACCAATTTGCCCTCTGTGCAAGACAGGGGGGCCGATAATCAGACAGATGTACCGTATATACTGTCAAGAGGACCAGATCTCTCAGTTAGAGCCAGTTAGCCTTTTTTTTATGTCTTTAATCTGCCCTTTCACTCAAATTCTAGTCTAAGTTGTCTCATCTTAATGAAAATACAAAGATTTGAAAGAGAATGCTTCAATCAAGCACAGACATATGTTCCACTTCTACCCAACTACTTCTTTACCTCCTTGTGTTCACCTCAGGGTGTAAAGTTAAAACTTCAGGACTTGTCTGGACTTGTGCATTAACAAATAATGTAGGTCCTGCATGAGAATGTCTGCGTTCTTATCTTCTGAATGCAAAATATTTGCAAAAATGAAAACAAAAATATTCAAATTTATCTCTATATGTATGTTGTCCAGTTCCAAAATATTTATATTCTTTAAAATATCAAATAATTTTTTTTATTTTATTTGAACAAACAATTTCTCTTAACATCATCTCAGCTGCCTTTAAATAAAAAGCTAATATGTCTGAGATATTGGGCTTGGAAAACGTAAAATGAGAAGTAGAGACTGACATTTTTTCGGGAATCCCATGGGTCACGGGATTCCTGTGGGATTCCCGTGGGATGGGAGTCAGTATTAGTAACGATCACGGGATTGGGACGGTACAGGATTAAACATTAACGGGAGCAGACGGGAGCGGGAGCAAACCAATAGTAACTTCCGCTCTGAGTTTTTCACCCGCGCTCAAAAACAACAAGAATGGGAGTGGTGCAGGAGCGGGAGTCATTCTGAATGGGAGCGGGATGGGAGTGGGAGTAATTTCACCAGGAGTGGGACGGGACAGGTTTTAGATTTCTACTCTGGCCCGGGATCGGGACGGGACACCGTTTTTTTCTGTGGGAGTGGGACGGGACAGGAGTGAAAATCCACTCCCGTGTTAGTCTCTAATGAGAAGTAAACAAAAAGGGTGAACTTAAACTGGAACTGTGCTGAATGCTCCCAGCGAGAACAGAGGTCAGCGTAGATGTGCAGTGGATGGTTAGCATTCTGAGCACAGTTTCTTTGCCTCGGTGCATTAGAGCATGCACCAATCTGTACTTTGGATCATCTGTTTATCTGACTTCTTCCCACCTCCTTCTGCAGCTCACTCTGATTTAGCTACTCTTGGCTCAAGCATTAAATGTCGCAGGATTATATCTGCAAAACATCACTGTCATCTGGTGAAAGTTCCTACGCTTCTCTTTCCTCCATGCTTTTAAATTAAAAAAAAATTTATCAGCTATGTTATAGACTACCAAAATTATCATTATGATGATACTACTTGTCAGAGCCATGAATTGTTCAAACCTTTGAAGAATTGGCATTTTAATTTTAAAATAAGAAAGTACATAACCTGAACCAATCCTTCCATGTTGGAATATACTGCCTAGTTGTTTTTTTTATGTCAAAGAAATTTCTAGCAATCTGTGAGCTGTTTTTGCTGATACAAAAAGCCTCAAGTGATGAAGTGATGCCCCCTGTCAATAGGAAGTGGTCCCCTCCTACCTTGCAACTTCACCCATCATGTCAGTGGGGGAGGAGTTCATGCAGACAGAGTTGGGCCGGGGTGCTTCTCACCATCATGGTAGGCTTGGCTAAAAATAAAAATAAATGCTGGGCTTTGTCATTTTGTTGAGATAGAACAAATATTTATCCTCCTCTCTCATATCACACAGAAAACATTTCCTGCAGAAAGCTTCCTGTCCAGAGCCTTGGGCCAAAGGATGGAGCAACATCTAAGAAGAGGAGGAAGAGGAGGAGGAAAACGAGGTCAGAAGGAGGAGGAGGAAGGAGAGACGGCAGCGGGGAGGAGTTCTCAGAGGATGAAGACATGTTTACTATTGACCTGAGCTCTGATGAGGAAAACGAAGGTGACAGCAACAGGTATGTTTGGGATATGGAGTAGAAAGATTTTCACTCAGGAGATCACTGTGGATCACTACCACTTGATTCCGACACAAATATTAGACTTTTAATGAAGTATTTAGGTTGTATGTAGTAGAACTAAGTGTTATAATCAGATCGAAAAACCATTGAACAGCAGTTCAAGCTACGTCGCCATGGCTACTCTTGTTTTTATTATACTCCCAAAATGAGTCTGGTAACATGCTAACGTGATCGGTTATCATTAGTCTGATGTAGTTTATTCAAAAGCCACACTATGGTTGGGTTTATAACGACTTTGTTCATCTTATCAGGATTTATTTTTTTAATTTCAAGAAATTTCAATCATCCTTCTTTGCACCCCTTCAGACTTAATGCACATTCGTTAAATTTCAACCCCTCATTTTTTCTTCAGTCTAAAAAGTTATGTTCTAAAAAAATAAAGGCAACATTCTGATGAGTAACACTAATTATCCAGCAACTTTTAACATAAATAAAGAAATAGGATTGCTGTCATCAATGGAAGAGAAAACATTAGCGTGAGAAACGATCTACATATCAAAATGGATTATAATAGTGCTTTATTCATCAGTATTTATTTACATGTACACTATCTTAGGGCCGTCATTCAGTGAAGTTTGATTCAAGAAACCAGGAAGATGTTTGTTCAAGATTTTATGGTCAATAAGAACATTTATATTATGTTTTTATTTAAATTTTAAAGAAATGTGGGGCTTACACTTTCATAAAAGCGTTTAACACCTAATAAACTCAGGTAATTCCCTTACGCAGATTCAGCTTTCACTTAGTTAATTCAAAGGAGAAGACATTAAATCATTCAAGCGTACTACTTTTTTTTTTAACCACCTCTTAATGTTAAACCACCTATGTATTAAACAGAACACATTACATGCTTCAAAAACAATTATGGGTTTAATATTTTAGACTGCAAGTCTGCACCTGCCACTGTTTATATTTGAAGCACCTTAGGAAGCATTTTTTTTTGTATCACCAGTCCTGTTCTCACTGTGTTTTCTGTCTCTTTAACATCGGGTTTTAACCAGTTGCCCTTACCGCCACAGTCTAAGGCCATTATTAGAAAGCTCAACTTTAGCTGTGGTCTGGGAAAACTTCCAAATCCCTAAAGACATTGAGGAATGTTTTTTTTAATTTGATTCTTCTTCTTTGATGCACATTAATTCACAGAAGCTTTTAAATGGTTAGTTAAGATTGTTAAAAAAAAGAGTTTTAGAGTGAAACACAGTTCAATTATTTGGAATGTTAATAATTTTACCTTTGTAACTTTTTTATCTTTGATTTCTATCAATTTTACCTTGAAAGATTTACACATATCCTTGCATGTGTTTTTCTGTGATCAGACCTGCGTTTGCTGACAGGGGCTCTACCACCAACAGGAACTTATTCAACACGACCAGCTGGACTGAATCACAGAGGTATCACTTTAACACAAATCTCTGGAATATTTAAAATATACACTGTTTTGTGTTGTCTTTAAAGAACTCCTCTTATGCTATGTTTACATACCCTTTTCCACTTCCTCCAAACTATTCTTTGTTGATATTCCAACACTGTTTTTTCTTTGTTTTTTTAACCTTTACTTTAATTTTTCTCTATTTTTTCTCATTTGCTTTTTCTTTTGAATTTGTTATGGAGTGATGTGATTAAGAAGAATCTCTCCATCCCCACATCCTATGGTCTATCCATCTCGTGTCCACAGACGACCTCTCACTTTTCTTCCCTTGCTGGGTATCCTCTTTATTTCTTTCCTTTCTAAATACTGTACCAATGTAAAAATAAAATATTGAAGTCACTCACTATTGTTGTTTTCTTGTCCTATATGACAACATATTATACTTCATCTCAATTCATTGTCTTAAATTCACTTGTATAGCAGCCAAGATGATTCAGCATCATCAACTCCAAAGAGTGACTCCGAGCTGACCAATCAGACTAATCCTGAAATGCTATGGACCTGGGGGGAGCTGCCACAGGCTGCACAGGTATCCTATACACTGATTTTTTTGTACAGGTTTTTCTAGATTTAAAGTTAAGACCCACGTTTTTCATACCCCTGTCACATTTAGGCTTAAAGATTTTTTCATTTCATGTATTATCCCAAATTACTGCTTTATCTTTTGGGAAGTGCTTCTTAATTCCTGTCAGAAACAAAATTCCACTTGAAGAAAATTATTTTAACTATAAATGTTCCAGAGATATGAGTCTATGTCTGCACTTTAGTAATGATTATACCAACAAGTTGCCTCAAGTTTAATGCTATGCTGATTAACTCCTGCCAGTTGTTTAAAGTATAAAATAAATCTTTGTTTTGTTGCTTTCCAGCCTTCCTTCCTTGCTTCCCACCAGAAGCAGGATTCCACTGCAGCAGTCTCTATCCCAGTGAGTGCAAACAGCCACTTTAGAGCCCTCACTGACACAGGATCGGCCACTGTGGCTGCATATGAACTTGAGTCAACAGAGACCACTGCTCCTGAAGGGACCTTGGACTTTGAAGGAAACGAAGGTGAAGCCAGGGTGGGGACAACAATTACATCTGAGGAAAAAACTGGAGAAGCGAATGGTAAATATACCGTCGCCTTACACACATTAAAAAAAGTGGTCCTCCTAATTGTCAATCATTCTGATGATATGTTTACATAAGGCCGTCCTACGTGATCGTTCCAATTTTCATTTGCTGTTGGTAAATGTCTGACATTATGCAAAAATTGCAAATATTCCTTTGGAAAGTAAGCTTGTATGAGCGATGCAAACAGCTACTTTTAAACAGAGAGTGTACCAAGGATAAATGGGCTCCTACATGCATTTGATAGGTGTTCCCTCTCGGGAGCAGGAACAGGGTAGCTCATGTGCATTTTTTTCAAAGTGGAGAGGGCGGGTCTTTTCAAAGATTTGTGAAGATCCTCAACTATACCTTTAAGAAGAAGTGCAAGGGTTGTACTGTAAAAGCTACATGTTTATCTACAAGTCAATGATCCTATGCTGAACATCCTTGGATATACAACTTTTCAACCAATTTGAATGATTATCTAAACATGGCTGCATATTTTTTTATGACTAGGATTTATCGGAATGTATATAGATTTTTCTCTATGGCTAGCTTGAGTTGACTTTTCTTTTTTTTTTTGGAAAGTGCCTTGAGATGACAAGCATCAAACAGTCAGATAATGCCAAGTAGAAGAGTTAAATATCAAGACTTTTTTTTACCGTGAGAGATTTCAAGATGCTCACTTTAAACTTCACTGACCTCCATGGGCTGTTCTGTGCATTACTATATAAAAGGGGCATTGACAATTGTTTAAGGCATATATGAAATTAGTTGATAACTTTTATCTTATGAAAAGGTTGATGTTTAAAAAAGATATACGTTTTGTTTTGTTTTCTTGCTGCTGCTTTTTGTTGCTCTATGTCTTTAGGTTCTGTTGTAATTTTGAAATGCTAGTTGAAATTTTTTTATTTTATTGAAAACCACAATACCAGTGTTTACAAAGTTTCTAACCATAAGTGAAAAGGTCAGGGCTGTCAAGACTTTTGTATGTTTCAGTACAGATGATATAGAAAATACAAAAACTGACTGTTTTTTCAATCCTTCATTGTGGTTCATGAGCTTCAGGTGGTTTTGTGTTTATTTTTTTTGTTCGTATAGTTAAAGAGACTGAGAATGTTGGCTCCTCGACTATGGAGGTGGATGGTTCAACAGCATGTTCAACGTCCCCAAAGACCCTCCCCACGCACCTGAATGAAGAAAGTAACAGAGGAAGTCCAATTAGAAGGACTGATTCACCATCAAAGAGAAAAGGTAGTGGCTGTCTTTGGTTTATTACAAATGATGATGTCATCTTTTTTTCTGAGTAAATGGAAGTCGGATGTTTTCCTTCACAGATAGAAGAAGTCAGCATCTTGGGTCTGATGGCATTTATCTGGATGATATTACAGAACTGGAGCCTGAAGTTGCTGCTCTCTACTTTCCAAAAAGGTGCAACTCTTATCTATTCCATTTTAATTAGGCTTTTGTAAACTTTACAGTAATTGTGTAACCCTCATTTACATTTTCTTCACATTTGCAATATTAATCAATGTTTGCTGTTTCATTTCAGCATTCAATTTTTTTATATAATCTATTTCTATATTTAAAATATGATTTATGTGAGATCTTAGTAGAGCACAGGATGATGAAGTTAACAAGATATTTCCATACATCAATTGGAAGGTTGCAACTATCTATTACTCTGCTGATCGATTATTCTGTCAATTATTTTTTGATTAATCGATTAATAATCAAATAGCCAAAGTTTCATTAAGGACGTTTTTACAGATTTAATCTAGGCGAAACTAACACCTTTCTACTTGAGGAGCTCTGGATTGAGCAGATTGAAAATGAAAAAGATTTTTTTTATCTTAATTGCAAAATATTTATATATTCTATTTAGAATTTTGGTAGAATTACTGCTCTAAATAGGTCACTCTGTCAGCTAAAGGCATATTTTAGAAGCTCTTTACTCCAATTAACGATTAATTGATTACTAAATTGGTTGACAATTATTTCAATAATCGATTAATCACGAGCTTCAACCCTAATTTGTAAATCTGTTGACATTTGTTAAATCTGTTGTCTTTTATCAGCGATGGAGGTAGCAGCTCAACGAGAGGGGACTCAGAGATAACAATAGACACTAGAAGCACCAACCAGTCACCTCAGTCAGTAGGCAGCAGCGGCATGGACAGCGGGGTGGACAGTTTGATGGAGCAGATAGCTGACCTACCACATGTTGCCATCTCTTTGTGTGGAGGACTCTCAGACAACAAGGAAATCACAAAAGGTAAGAACAATTATCATTGTAAAGTTATAAGCCACATTTTTTTTCTTTAAAGACTTTTTAATGGGATTTCTGCTATCTTCTTTTAGACACATTGCAAATTTTATAAATATATTGCTCCAAATGTATAAAAATGCTCCCTATTTAAAATTGATCCGTGGAGTTAGGAGAACAACAAAGATTCTCAAACTTTTGGCACAAACCAGAATGAAGAAATGGGGGAAATGTGGGGAAAAAGATGAGGGTGAGACAGATGTTACTATCCAGATGTTAGCGAATTGCAATGGGAGATAATGTTGAGCTGAAATCCCTCATTCCATCTCTGGTAGATGGAATAAACAGTCATTTTGATGCAGCTCTGAAGGATGATGTTGATCATGAAAGTTGTGTCATGACTCAGAACAGAGGACCCGGTATTCGGGCAAGACAGACAGTGGGATTATTCAAAAGGCGTTTATGAAAACTATGTATCTGAGAAGCAGCGGCTAGGGCTTCTGAGGCTGGAAACTAAGACTAAGGCTTAGTCACTAACCTGGTTTACTGGTTCAGTTTATGCCCAGTGAACGGGGTAAGATCCAGCCGATGGGCAGCCAACCAGATGCAGCGGGGTTCACCCAGAGTGTCCATCATGTTGCAGCAAACAGGAGTGCGAAGCCAGGTCAGGCAAACAGATCAGAACAGGAACCGACTCAGAGATCTAGGAGTCCAAAGACAGTTTAGGCAAACCATTCAGACGGAAACAGGCAGGCTCAGTGGTTGAGTGGCAGAACATGTCAGGTAATCAGAAACACTAAACACTGGGTAGAGAGAACAAGATAATCTGGCCCTGATAACTGGATGCAAGCAGCCTAAATAGAAGAAGGAGCAGGTGGATTAGTTGAGCAGTGATTAGAAACCTGGCAGAGTAAGACAGGTACATGAGATGAATAATTATGCCATTTATGACAAGTTGTCAGTGACTCTGAGTCAGTGTTGCCAGCTTTGTTAAACATTGTCTTCTTCTGGTACAGGACACTGAACACTGGCCCACGCGGGCACAGTTTCAGTGCCTTCTAACAGAGAAAGCTGATTTTTTTTCCCATTGTTTTGATATCTAATTATATATGCCAAGCTGTTTTTACCATTCATATTTGGCTGTGTGACTAATAATCCATATTTCAATGGTGTGACAAACTCAAAATACACATTTATTGTTACTTTATATGGATTTTAAAATTATGAAACAGTATTTGTCAGAATGGTATTGTACTTTTGGCAGAGGTATTTCCTGTCATCTACAAGCAGCTTTTGGTAATCATTCTGTTTAATCAATGTTTTTGTTCATGTCTTTATCCTTTTCCTGTTTTGTGTTGTTTTGGGTTTTTCAAACCACAGAGCAGTTCCTGGAGAGAGCCGTTTCCTACCAACAGTTCTCGGAGAACCCCTCTATCATAGATGATCCTAACTTGGTGGTCAAGGTTGGAAATAAGTATGCATTACAGTTTTTACAAGTAATTCCACTTATGTTTTTTGTATGAAGATTTTAAAACCTAAGTTAGTGATTGGCATTTGTGAGAGACTAATTTTTTAGCTCTGTTAATATTTCTGACAGCAGGTTCAAACAGCTCCCCTTAACATTATTTTAGTACAAAAAAAAATGTTATTTGAACACAAGGTATAACTCACAGCTGTGGAATATGTTTATTCAAAATGTAAATTTTCTCTTTGAAGTGCTCTTTAGCTCTCTCTGCTGTGTGTTACAGATACTACAACTGGAGCACAGCAGCGCCTGTTATGCTGGCCATGCAGGTCTACCAGAAACCCCTGCCACAGGTAGGCCAAACACAAGTTAAAGAAGCAAGTTTTCCTATTGTTTAGTTTCTTATACATTAGAATAATCTCTACTTAAAGTAGCTATGGTACAACACAACATTTGTAAAAGTGTAGATCGAGTGTCATTGTTTAGCCTCAGTGCTTCTCTCTCATAAGTTAGTTGCTTGGTTATATTCAGTTGTTTTTATTATCATTATTGTCATTGTTGTTATTGCTTTTATTTTTGTTTTATTATCGTTATTATCATTATCACTGTTGTTATTATTATCATTATTAGTATTATTATTTCTTGCACAGTTTTTGCAACCCTCTGCATTTTATGGTCGCATTGCATGCAGAGCAATTTGCTAATACTCCCACTGAATGCAAAGCTTAATTTTGCTTTTTCTGGTGTTTTCTTAGTGAATAACTCAGAATAAAGATGAATAATGTACGCATTGCACTTATTTCTGGCTTTCAAATACAGTGCTTCATTCTAAAGTGGCATCAGTTAAAGCTAGTTGACATGAACCTTTCGGTCTAAAGCAGCTGCAAAAGATGAAACTTGAAATGTTTATTAGGAGCTCACATCAGCTGATCTAAGAATTATAGTATTACATTGTTTTAAATCTGTTGCCCTAACATTAAAATAACATCATGTGTTTATCCTCCTTTTTCTCCCCCTTCATTTGCATGGTTTCTCTCACTCATCATTTATTTGACATTTGTGTTCACCAAGTGTTGGTGTTTGAGTTACGTTTTTTCTGTTTTCGGCCTCTTCTCATACTGCTTCCCTGGTCTGTTTGGTTCCAGCGTTACTGAGCCTGTATGAACTTTTATGCTTTTTCCTGACTGTCAGTCAGAGCATGTCTTCTCCTGTCATCTGCTTTACTCAATTGACATTTTCTGTTCTGTTTTGCATGACTGTATGTTATTGTGAGTTCGTTCGGCTGGGGTTCAGTAGCCCAAATTCTTTTCTATTTCTTTTCTTGCCATCTTTCTGTGCTTGTTAGTCTTGAGTTACGTTTCCTCTCATGTTTGAGTTGTATGACATCATTGTCCTCAGGCCTCAGTGGAGAGCATCATGAAGGAAAAGATGCCAAAGAAAGGAGGACGTTGGTGGTTTTCATGGAGAAGGAGGGACAGTGATCCTAAGTTGGTCAGTGCACAGACTGATTTCTCCTATTGAATATTTAGGAAATAATTTTCAAGAGGCACAGAAAGTTTTGATTTAAATGATTTGAGAATGTAATGATTTCCTGAGTTGGTTTTTATCTCATGTATCAGGAAACACCAACAGAGATGGGGCATGGAGAGGACGGCTCGCTCACTATGACCACAGTGAACTGGTGATTTGACCTGTCTAATGATCAACTTCACTTTCTTTCTATCACAGTTCCTATTTATCAAACCTAACACTTTAACTATCTCAGTTTAAAGGATGACTCTTCTTCAAGTGAAGAGGACCACACACTATGCAATCAGATACCAGATTCCTATCAGCAAGATCCTGTCATAAACTCATCTGGTGTCTGTTATAAGAAGACTCTTCGGCTAACTTCAGATCAGCTGGTACAGTGTTTACTCCTATATTTGCCTATATAACACAATATGAACTGTGACAGTGACAGCACATCAGATCAGTGATTGAGCACCTACGAACAGAATGAAGTGTTAAGCACTTTGATTTACTTAGGGCTCAGAAAATAGAAAGACATTAATCATTAATAAATTGTTAAAAGTTTCAAAAAAGCAGTCCACACTTTGTAAACAGCTACCAAAAAGAACATATTTTGTGGTTATATAACCGTAAATTTATTTTAATGACTAGTTTTTAGAAAAAAAGAGAAGCAACCAACTTATGAAGAGTTCATTTGCAAAACCTCCTTTGTCTTTCAACTAATTTTCAAAAAACATATTTTTTATTAGCAGCACCATGCAAAGAGTTCATTTTTTCATAAATGGCATTTATATGGTTTTGCTAATGAACCCTTCTAATACACAAACATACTTAATAGATTTGTAAAAAGAGATTGTTTGATATTTATGGAAATGCCTCCCTGAATGTTGATGCATGTGTTTTCACAGGCCAGCCTGCAGCTAAAGGAAGGTCCCAATGAAGTAGTGTTCAGTGTGACCACACAGTACCAAGGCACCTGCCGCTGCCATGGCACAATCTACCTTTGGAGCTGGGATGACAAGATCATCATCTCAGATATAGATGGAACCATCACCAGGTATCATGAAGCAATTTACCCACTATCAACAAGCAGTTCCTACCTATTACCAGTAGATGTCAGGTTATCCACATTAATGTAGTTGGTTCTCTTTTGAGATTACTTAATTAAAGATCATTTATATGTGAAGCCTGACTTTAATAACTCTATTATTTTTTGTCTATACTTCCTTGTGGCTCAGGTCTGACACTCTTGGCCACATCCTCCCCACGCTAGGTAAAGACTGGACCCATCAGGGGATTGCACGGCTCTATCACAGAGTCAGCCTGTAAGTCTTACCTAACACTTGTTCACTTTAAATTTTCTCTTTAAGTGTCAACTATAGTCATGTATCTTAGAATAATCTAGATTCACAAACATATTGACTTTTCACTCAACTGAGACTTTGAAAATAAATTGGATTTACCTTTTAACTTCACTTGGACTGAAGCCATTTCATTTGAAAACACCTAGGAGTGCGTTACAGTGGAATTGCACCTTCCATTCAGCATTAAAAATAAGTTTGGCCAATGATCAAACTGCTGTCTTATTCTGACTGTTTGACTTTTTTTTTTACCTCCTCCACCTGCAGCAACATGCACGCTACATTCTCTGTGATGTTTAACAACATTACAGGTATCTGTAGTTTGAGTCTTAACATGAGTGAAGAAATGAACATGGCTGGGTTAGTTTATTATTTAAGTGGTTTATCTTATCTTACTCATGCAAATTTGTCTACATTTTTCTTTGGTCTATTAATCTGGTTTAGAATCAGAAATAAATTCTTAGGACTTGAACTTTACTCGTGTCTTGAATGCCTTGTCTTTAGGAGCAAATGGGTCTTATGTATTTATTTTGGATTTTACTTTTTATCATACTTTTTATAGATACAATGACTTTTTTCCACCTTTGTTTTTAACTCTTTAACATGTTCAAAGTTGAAGTTATCTAGGATGAAGTTTTTATTTGCATAGACTTTCCAACAAGTTTTAAAAAGAAAACATAGATTTTAAATATAAGAACTTTGATATTTTATTATTTAAAACTCAAATGTATCGCTCTGTTTAGTTATCAAATCAATTTTATTTTTTCACAGAAACGGCTATAAATTTATGTACTGCTCAGCTAGAGCGATTGGCATGGCTGGGATGACAAGGGGCTATTTGCACTGGGTGAATGAGAGGGGAAACATGCTACCCATGGGCCCAGTGCTGCTCAGCCCTAGCAGTCTTTTCTCCGCTTTCCACAGGTCGGTATCAAACACAACGAGACTCAAGTAATCAGGAATATATGTAAGCATATTCAATAAATGTTGTTGTCATTTAAAAGTTCCGTTTTTCAGTTACTCAATTCAGTTACTTAAAACTGATACTGCAGTTTCAGCCCATTTTTCATTTCTATTATGTTGCTGCTACATAAATACATGCTAGCTTCATCATTCATTTCCATTTGCTTGATATTACAGCTTTGATTTACAAAGATCAACCGTGTGCACTAGTTAAATTAAAAGAACATTGTCAGCAACTAACTATGTGTGATTTTGTTTTTAGGGAGGTGATTGAAAAGAAACCAGAAGTATTTAAGATTGAGTGTTTGACAGACATCAAGCACCTTTTCCACCCAAACACTGAACCTTTTTACGCTGCCTTTGGCAACAGAGCCACGGTGAGAAAACCAAATGCACACAATCATAACCTCCATTCTCTGAATAAATAAAGGAACCTTGATGTAGGTTTTAATTCACGTCTATATTATTTTGACTAAACATTTGGCTCCCACAATGAAAAGATATTAGTGTATTTTTGCCGCATGGAATGGATGTTTTTACGCTTCATCTTGCCTGTGTGATTTTAGGATGTGCATTCTTATAAAGAAGTGGGAATTCCTCTGAACAGGATTTTTACCGTCAACCCTAAGGGGGAGCTTATACAGGAGCATGCCAAAACAAATATTTCCTCGTAAGTATGCCTCTCTTCACCTTTAATTTTCATAACTGGTACTTCACTGAAACCATGGAAGCAGTTTTAAGCTGTAAAGGAATTCTTTCTTTCTTTCTTTCTCTTTATCAGCTTTGGGCGCCTGTGTGAAATGGTCGACCATGTGTTCCCAGTCCTGCCTCAAAATGAAGAAGCGGACATCCCTCCCTCTGATTGTTTTGATCAAACCAGAGATTGGGGGAAACTCTTGCCTGACAATAGCAATAATCAGGAAGATGAGTCACAGCCTATTGAGGAAAACTGAAGAAAAAGAAAAATCCAGCAACCCAAGAACATATTCTGCAAGCCCTTTGGAATGTCCTGTTTATGATGAAGCTAGCAGCCAACTGAAAAGTGACAATGATGTAGCAAGAACTGAGGGAAAAAAAGAGCTGCGAGACTTTTTGGTCTAAAAATGGACAATGAAGACAGTTCCAATGCTCAAAAATGACCTTACAAATAGGTACAGTATTTTTGACTACTGATTTTGTGTAAATGAATGTATTTGTAACAATGTGAAAAGCACAATTGAAAAAAGTAAGGACAGAAGATAAAAATTTGTAATTCTGGGGAAAATATTCTCATTTTCAGGCATGAAAAAAAAATGGTTAAAAAAAAGGGAAGCTCTGAGAAAAATACTTAAAAGAAGGAACTGCTCTCTTATGACAGATGTTTGAAAGTTCCTCATAAAGTTGAAAAAAGTATGTTAAAGGGTTCTGGTCAAGTACTGACTATCAAAATCCCCACAAAATAAAAAAAAATATATATATATATATTCATCTTCAAAAACAAAAAGCAATATTGCCATGCATTTGTTATAATGGAGTTTATTTGGTCCTTTATGAGCCTAAAAACCATTTTTGTTCTGTATGTGATCAGCAGACATAAGCATTTTGATGCAGCACCTACTGGGGCTAATATTACTAAAGTGGAAACTTGAACCATGACAGGTGTTGTATGCATTATGTTCTGTATAATCTTTTCTATCAGTATATCTGAAAGCCTAAGAATAGCATTGATATCTTTAGCATCAGTATTAGCAAGGTTGTGTATTCACACATCCATCAACATGGCAGCAAAACCTGACTGCTTCTCCAGCCTTAGCTCCCTCATCCATGAACACCAATATTCCTATTGTATTCCGAGCACTATTTATCCCTATTTGCACCTAACATTTTTGCTCTTGATCATATTTCATCCTAGAATGTTCCTCATTCGTTTCTTCCTCCACCAAGTATTGCTGATTCATTCGATGTAATTGCTTTAGCCACAGAGATAATATATATCTACGACATTTCCTTGTTTACTCATTCCGCACATCATACCCCTCAAACATTTTGTTATTATTGGAAATGTTTACTATCGCTTTGCTTACTTATAGAGCAAAAGAAAAGTTTAAAAAACACAAAAAGATAATAATTAGCCAAAATTGTCCAATAACTTGAAGACCTTTGGATGCAACCAGACTGAGCCACTGGTGTAGAAATTTGTATGGTCATAGTACTTGACCAGGCCCCTTTAAATTGTAATGTCTCATACATTTAATGCAATACAACATCTGTTTACCTTTGTCATTTTAGCGCTTTTTACATTCTCATTTAGTCCAAAAGCTGCAGCCTTTTCAGCTAAACATAGAGCATTAATGCATGATGTAATCCTTAGTGGTGCATACAGTTTGACACATTGTCAGTTGACATAAGGTCACAATATACCTTCAGTTTTACTATTTTAATTTATTGGCCATTGAACAATGCTAGAGAAACAAAAATACTTATTTTAATTGCACATGAGGTAGTGTTCTCAAATATGAGAAGTTAAAATTATTGGCTGTTGATTTTCAGACCTTCGTGGATGTAGATAAGAACAGTTTCACATGTGAGTTTTGATCAATCGCTAGTCATTCAGAATTGAGGAAATTGGAGCTATTTGTTTGGCCGGAATATTAACAGGTGCACCCCTAATAATAATGTCTGTGTTTTATGTGTTTTATGCAGAATGTATTTTCAAACCATGTTCAGAAAAATAGGAACATTTTTATTCAACATTAGCAAGTTCTTCACCAAATATTATGCAGACATAGGATGCAGTTTCATGTACAAACCTCTTTAGCACTGAATTATAATATAATAATCCAAGTTTTGCAGTTTTGCAAAGAAAAGAAAAAATCAGGGAGGGTTTTCAATTATCCTTTCATGACGAACTCTTCTGCAGGTGCGGTTAAATATTTGTGGTATTTTCCCCACCCAACTGTCGTTAATCCGTCTAGTTTTGTGTTATTGTTTTCAAGATAAGTACAAGACAGTGCGAAATAACTTTGTGTGACTAAATAGTATGTGGGAATGTAATATATAAATCACACATTACTGTAATTATTAATATTTGTCAATGACACTTTATGAGCCCATGTAAGACTGAGTGATTTTGATAGTTTTTGTAATGTTGAAAAATGTGTTAACAGATAAGTTCACTTACCTCTCCTCTTATTGTAAAACAGCAAAAGAACAAACTAAGAAAACTGTGTATTTTTTATTGGTTAACATTTTTTAACATATAATTTATTTTATATGTATGTAATATAGGAACCAGGCTTTATAAAAATGTATGTGTAACTTAAACAAGGAAAACCACTGTAAATAACAGAAATCTTTATTAGTATCTTTGTTAGTATATACAAAGTTACAAATGAGCTTAAAGGTTGCATATATATACAGTATATATTGTTTCTAATTTATCTGTTTTATTGGGGTTTTCTGTTTTTTCCCTGTTTTTTTAGATGCCCTCATTGAAAAAACATGTGCAGCTATTCATTGAACTGATCTCTGAGATTTTGCATTTTTTACCATGTAAACCTTCAATGAATAAAGCAATATCTTTAGCAAATGCATTGAAATGCCAGTATTATATCGTGCCACTGTTGATGCCTCTGGCATCTAGTTAAACACATTTAGTTAAATAAAAAGCCCAGGTACATTTACTTTACAACAAAGAGAAATATAGAATAAAACAAAGTTAATTTGCCCTCCATTATGAAACAATTCGTAATGTAAAAAAATGCTCAGTATTTATTTTGTTTTACTTTAACCTACAAGCTATTAGTCATAAGAAATTGGAGAATATTTAGCAGCCATTCCAGCTGATCATAATGTCAGGTGCTGTACTGGGATTAACTTTACCTAAAAACACAACATTCAGGAATAAAGCCTTGAAGTTAGGTTAATGGGATATATGCTCCTGATTGATAATGATCTGATGACTATCTTATTTATTCATTTATTTATTTATTTATTTGAATAGGGACAAAGCACATTAATGAACATCAGTATAAAAACAAATGTAAATATGCCGGATTAGAGCTACAAAGCTAGTTTTCATCCGTAGTCCCTAGGCAGGTAAATGCATAAGAAAGAACATATAATATACAATATAAGCATCACAAGGAAATTCCGTAAAAATTCAAAAAATATCCACCGGACTTGGTTTTCAAGATTTGAAGACGTTTCGCCACCTCTCCAGGAAGCTTTCTCAATTCAAATGTCTGGATCCGCAGTGAGTTTGAGTCTTATATAGACAACGCCTTGTATCGCTTGGAAACATGCAATAGAAACCGATGAATGGGTCGTTAGTTCCATCGTTAGCCTGTAATATCTGAAACTGTCTATGATTCTAGGGGTCGGTCGTTAAAGGGGGGATTGTCATTAAGGGGGGGATTGTCTCCTGTAATACCTGAAACCTGTCTATGATTGTTAAGGGTTGGTCGAGGTGGCGAAACGTCTTCAAATCTTGAAAACCAAGTCCAGTGGATATTTTTTGAATTTTTACGGAATGACTATGACCTGGATGACTGAGAACCTTCATCAGCATCACAAGGAAATGTTAAGAGTTTAGTGGTCACATGACTGGTTTGTTTTCATCCATAGTTTGAGTTGAGCTCTAAAGCTGATCAGTATAGGGCTCTCCCGTATGTGCAAAGGAAGACTGTTCCAGATGTTAGTGGCTCTCACAGAGAGAGTGTTCTGACCAAAAGTTGTTTTTCGGTGAGAGACCTTACAGTCTCCTCTGGAGGAGGCCCTGGTTCTCAGGCCACTTGAAGTCTTAGGTTTGAACAGAGTAGACACAGGAAATGGGGCTAGTCCATCTAGCGCTTTATAAATGAAGCATACATACTTAAAATTTTAAAAATTTAAAAGATTGTACTTGTTCAAAATATTACATACATGGAAAGAATTGGGTTTTTCGTCAAACACTTTAAGAGATTTTTTGTACAGTGATTCAATTAATTTTAAATTGGTAACTTTGGAGAGAGACCGACTTGTGATGCAGTATTCAATGTGAGATAAAATCATTGAGTGGAGAATCATTCTAGCAGCACCAAGTGTTAAAAAAAAACCTGATTTGTTTACAATTTTTAAGGTTAAATTTGACAGTATTGGCAAGTTTTTTTATATGAATTTTGAAGGACAAAGTGTAATCAAGTATCACGCCAAGGTACTTGAATTCTGTGACGAGTTGTAATTCTTCTCCTCTCAAGAATACTCTGGAGCTTTTTATTTCAAACAGATGTCATTGAAAGGTCAAACAGACCTTTTTTTTTATTGAGAAGCAAACATGATTAAAAATATCAAATTTTATGGGATGTGATTTACTGTTAGAGAGCATAAAGTTTAAATCCTACAATGTTTATGTTTCACTGCTGGTTGTCCTGTAATTAAGTATTAATTCTTTCTATGAAAGATTGTCCAAAAGTACCTTTAACATTGTTTTAGTTTCTTTTTATTTCCAATTAACTAATTTACATGTGAAGGTAGCAGTGTTTACATCAAGCATTAGTTCTACTAAGCAATGTGCATTGCAAGCTGTTAACATTGCATTCTTATCTGCAGAAAAAAAAAGTTTTTCGGTTAATTATAACTCCAGTGTATGTCATTTTATTTAATATGCTTCTCTTTGTTTTTCCTTCATAATTATGTACCTGTGAAGATTCATCCAGGTCAGGGTCAAAGTTTCTAGAAGACGTTTAGAGTCTCATGCATGAGGTTTCTTCACTTCTAACTGTTGGTGGGGAGCACTGAGATTAATATTCTGTACGTCTAACAACGAGTGAGGGTGGCTACAGTGCTTGAGGGGAAAAATAAAAAATGTGTTCATGTTTGGTAAAAAGTATTACCGTAGTTTATATCAATTATATCTGGTATAATGTCCCTTGCCACTTTAGTTTTTTCTTTTCCAGACTTCATTTTTGTGGCATTAGAATTTGATTTTCCATTATTAGGACTCCTAGTATACAGATATATCAGTTTTAACAATAAAAAACAGGACATCTTTACTTCCCTTGTACTCTCACAGGCCATTGCATCACTCTCACCCTCAGTTCAACAATAAGCATATAAAAAAACACTCACAGAAACAGCTGCTAAGTGTAAATTGCCTGCATTGATATGCCCTATGATACACTTCGATATGAGCATCAAAGGCAGCATGCATGCAGTCATGAAAAAATTATTAGACCACCATTGTGTTCAAAAAAATTCTTTTTTTGCAATCATGTACAAATTATTACTGTGACTAAAACGGGCAGAAAAAAGCAGATGGAATGCCAATAAAAGTGCTCAAAATTACTTTTATGAGCTTTTGTTTTTGTTACACTTACCAAAACCAAACTGACATCTAGTTTTATCAATGGATTCTACAAATCAATCGACAGGATATGAGATTTATTTGTTTTCGGTTTAGTTATTTTGAGCGATCATTTTATTTAGTTTGATATGTATTAGTTTTACTGAACACATATTCCTGATATTTGAAATCAACATTTTTTTCTTCGAACAAAAGGACATTATTCACTTCTAGAATAAATTTACTGGATGTTTAGATTTTAATTTCAGATCTCCATATTCCTATTGTTGGTGGTCAGCATTTGTATTATTTTGCCTAATAAGAAATATATTTCAGATATCGTACATAATGTCCACTTAAAATGTGTAAACATTTGTAAACATTTCTAGGTAAATAAAACTTAATTGTTACTCAAACCAACTTTTTTCTAAAATGTAAATTAGGATAATGTATTTTCCAAAATGTTGAAGTAAAAGTGGGAGTTTGATTAAGATAAATCTTATTTTAGTGATCTACAAATGGAACAACAGAGAGGAAAGTGCTTTTAATAAGTATAAAAACAGCCTGCCATAGTGACTCCATATAAACCTCTGCATTAAGTCAAGCAACAATCATCTGCTTCGCCATCTTCTTCTCCTTTTATTAGCTATAGTGCTGTTTTTTTGTTTTTAATCACATTCTCCATTTTTCTATTTCTTCATTAAAATCTTTAGTCCCAGTGGAGTGAAATAGGCACTTCCTGTTGCCTGTTGTTATGGTGACTAGTCGAATCGGGGCTCCACTGATAATGGCTTTTTAAAAACTTGTTACGCACACGCTTCACTCTGAGTGGACCTACTTAGAGTTGATTGAACTAATTCATAGCAGCTGTTGTTAAACCAAAAACTCAGAGTTAATGACCTTTGGTGAGATAAACATAGAGTTGTGGATTTGTTAAACCTGTTTTGTGAAACGGACCCCTGTAGGTAAATTTGTTGTGAGATGGATTAAAAACCATACATACCCACATGCAGTACAAAAAATAAAAAATATCAGCATACAGAGTTCCAATCGAGCCATTACTTTAAAAAAAGTAAATAAATACGCTTTTTTTTAATGGTTCACACAATATTTTAATAAGCTACTGCAGGTAATTTCTCATTAAACCAATTATTTAAAGCACAATGAAACATTGTCAGTTACCATATATAGGAACACACAGAAAAGAAAAATAGTTTCTAGAGAGGGTTGAGAACCATTGGTCTGTAGCAAACCATTAACATGACAACAAAACAAAAAACAAAGATGGTCTAACAAGTTTTTCAATGACATCATCATCAGTGTTCGTTTAATCCTGCATTTTTTTCCTCTTCTTTCCAGGCCACTGTAATGATAACAGTGAATGCAACTGAAACTCCAGTTGAATAACTGCAACAGGAACGTCCAAAGCATTGCAAATCATTCAGCAATCTGAACACTGATAGATGTGTAAGTGGTAACCATTTCACTCTAACACATATTTTTGTTTTATATAATTTATGACAAGTCACCCAACTAATATGTGTTTTTTTTTTTTTCGTTTGCGTTCATGTAATCTAAAGATATTAGATATATAATTAGTGTTATGTAAAAACACTAAAGAGCACACAGTAGAGGCAGCAAACTGCTACCCCTAGCCATCTTAACCCCAAAATCTTAATCCGTAATTTAGAGATAATTTTTATTACTGCATTTATTTCAAAAAAGTTTAAAAATAACAATTAACTGGACTTTTGTTTTAAAGTTTGAAGACATTTTGTTTTGGTCCACTCTATAAACTCAAGGCTAATTCTGACATTTTGAATTGAAAAAGCTTCGTGGATGGGAAGTGAAATGTCTTCAAACTTGGAAACAAAGTTCAGTGGATTTTTTAATTTTTTGGAATGACTATGACCTGGATGACTGAGAATCTTCATCAGCATTGTTGCTTTTTTTAGCTATTGTACTTATTTGGATTTTTCTGTTTTAGTAACCCAAATTTTTTTTTTCTCGAAGTAGGTTTAATAAATACTCTTACGTTTGTTCACCATGAAAACAATGAAGCTCTGAGTTTTACATATCACAAAGCGTGTTTTCTTTACCTGCTATCAGCTACGATTCTCCACCTGGGATTTCACTGAAATAGAATACATTGTGCAAAGATTCATATGTGGAAACAGGCACTTAAAATTTGTAATCATGTCTTGGTATCTGATACATAATTCTTACTAAAAGCCTACAAATTTGTTTTCTATAATCATGAATTTTGT